ATGGATGTTGCATTCTCGTCAAGTTCCATACAAACGAAAGCTACAATCAATAGCTTTCGCGCAATCGAAACAGAAAGTTGGTGAGTTGCTTGGTAGAGAGCTGTGGGCAAATATTCATCTTCAAAACACTATGGATGTTGATTCCCGTCAAGCTCTCACAATGAAAGCTACAATCAAATAGCTTTCGGGTCGACAATCGAAAGTGGCAAATAGAGGACTTTTCACATAGATCGAGAAGAGTTACAATTCAACGACACTTCCGACAACTGATGAAAACTCTATTCAGCAGTCTTCACAATCTACGGTGAAAGTTACAATCTGACAACTTTCATACCCTACAACAGCTAAAGCCAGGATTACTGAACAACGGTCCTCGCAATGCCTCACAGAAGAAGTTACAAGTCAAAAAGCTCCTTCTGAAACGCGGATGTCATCCCCGCGTTACAACTTGGAAAGTGCAGGTGACCCCCGCGTTTCCAAGCCACCCCTGCGTCTCCAAGATACAAGCTGAACGTGAACGACCCTCGCGTTTGTAGGGGTCCAACCAACACCCACCCCCGCGTTTCCAAGCAGGCAACAAGCCAAAACGCGAGCGACCCTCGCGTTCAATGATGTTCAGCTAACACCCAACCTCGCGTCTCAATTCTAAGAGGCGAAGTTGGGTGCTAAACGCCAGATTGGGCGTTTGACTCGTTCAAACATGAGTCGAACGGTTTCAGAACCGTTTATCCCACGTTCTGAGGGATTTTCGCCCACGTAGGAGCGGATATAGGGGTCAGTTACAACCTCCTATCCCCCTATAAAAGCTCAACGAACCCAACAGAGCAAGTGGTTGGATTTTTGGCATCTGAACCACACAGGTTGGATTCTAAAGATCTAAACCGTACAGGTTGGAGATTTTTCAGTTCTAAAACAGATAAGGGCTGGCGGCTGGCTCTTTGAAAACAGAAGAGTTAGCAAAGATCGGATTTGGAAGATCTCAACCACTCAGGTTTGACGATTCAACAGCAGCAGCGAAATCCTTGGAGATAGGATTTTTGAATCAAGCTCAGAAGATCAAATCTGAGAGGATTCTTCAACAACAGAATAACGGCTTTATCATTGATTCAACAGCAGCAACGAAATCCTTGGGGATAGGATTTTTGAATCAAGCTCAGAAGATCAAATCTGAGAGGATTCTCCATCAACAGAATAACGGCTTGATCATTAACCGAATTTTCGGTTCTAACAACTCTATTCACAGAGTTCTAACTCATTCAGAGTTTTTAAACTCATTCAGAGTTAAACATCAAACTTTCCACAGAAGTTCATCGTTCCCACGAGATAAGAGACGGTCGGATCGTCAACGGAGAGCAAATTCGACGCGAGCAATCGAAGGAGGCATTCCATCGCTACCGAGAAGAACCCAGTTTTAAACAAAGGAGAGAATCAAATTCGTTCTCTTCTCTTTTGTAATCAAGTTGTAATCGGAATCAAAGAAATACAAGTCAATTTTCTTTATTCTTTTCATTGCAATTTTTTCTACATACAAAAGAATGTTTTTAAAGCAAATTCACAAAGTAGTTTGTATATTATACTGCAGGATTAGAGCTTCTAAATGTAATATGATTCTAGAAGCAAATGAACAGGGAAAGTATCTGAAGAAGTAATTGAGAAAAATTGGCAAAGGGTAAGTCAGAGACGGGAAAAACTTGAAAACACGACACTAGATTCTCAATAGATAGCAATGCTAAACAATCAACCATTTATTTATCAACGTCTCTTTTCTAAATATAAATAGGACTAAACAAAGTATAAAGCAAACTAACCCTTGAATTCTGATAAAATATAATGATGCCGAAAGAGTCCTGATATCCAGATTGGTATCACCCTTGACTGTTCTATATGCTGACAGTTATCGATTTTTGCTGGAAAGATGAAGATTAGACCATGATATGAAGCAATGATATTATAGCTGGAACAATAAGCTAAAGTTCTGATGTTCATTGATCAACTTTAACAAAAAAAAAAAACAACATCCTGAGAAACATTTGTTATTTTACTCGTAAATTTCTATCCATGTCAGAACCTGAAACTAAAAACTGATCATAACAAATAACCAAATGCGGGGAACAAAATCCTAAAATGGAAATGACTTTTTCCAATTAAGTTTTAACGGGTCCATATCCTTTGGGAGTGATTTCACAAGGACAACAACTTCATCATGTATGCCATTAGTCAATACTGAAATCGATAGCCTTTGGTGCATGAGCACATTTTGTCAGGGACAGAAATGCAAAGCCTGAGAAGCAACAACTCCAATATCATCAACTTGGCAAATATGGTCCACTGACATGACCTTGATTTGCTAACTGGCCATTCAAATGAAACCTGATATGCCTGAAGATCTACACTATCTTGGTGTCTTTGAAGAAGAAGGAACCGCTAAGGTTTTCACTTAACAAAGAGATCGGAGGATGCTATTGAGTCCCGGACATTTTGGAGTAGGTTAATCCAAATCATCCAATACCACAGTAACTATTATGGGATAAACAGTACATTTTGATTGTTATGCTCAACTGGAAGACAGTATCAACCAATGCAGTAGCAAATTAAATTGATAACAGAACAAAATTAATTTTACCTTAAAGATGAATATCATCTTAAACTTTTTTAAAATTCTTCTAGGACTATTCAGTCTATCAAAAATGAAAAAAATAAAATAAAATATCATGGCATCTTATTAACCATCATTTTGGGGTGATGCATTGTGTCGACCTCAATCTGTACACGTTACATTCAAATATAAAGTAACTCAGCAAAAAAATACACACATGAATGCTACATGCTAATGACCAAGTATGATATAGCCACATGATATGGATCGTCAGTTAGCTAGTTCTTGAAAACTACCAGGACTGGGAACCTCCAGAGTAGGATGCAATTTACATCTTCTTGATTTCTTATAAACGGATAAATGGTAAATCTTGATTGTTATGCTCAAAAGGAAGCAAATGTCAACCGACGCAATTATGAACAAAGTTGACGGTAAAATAAATAACGGATTACACAAAGTTGATTGGACTTGACCTCGATCAATGAGTAGAGGGTAACTGCACTAATGCTGGATGTGCAGTGGTGATAACATTGTGAAACTTTTGCATATATCAAAATGAGTCTACTACATTTCTGTCTTCGACATCTGAGGGGTAATAAGCTAGAACTTTCTTTCGATATTAGACTTAGTCCATTACTGTTGATGATGTCTACAGTTTTTGAACGCTAGAGGACAAGTGACTTTGACAAATAGAAAATTTTCAGAGAGAAGGATGGCATGATTGATCTGAAAGCACATGTTAGTTAGACATTCAGATAAAACACAACCAATGAATGCTGAATATTCATTACTTATGATCAAGGAAAAGAAACAAAAATGCACATTTTCCTCATATTTACCATCTTCAAATGTTGAATTGGTGCAATAAAGAAATTTCTCCAATTAGTCTCATGTACCATTCTTCCTCTTCATCAGTACGTTCACAGCTTACACAAAGCAGTCAAGTTCTCCAAACAAGCATCTTGAAGTCCAAATCGCCCATCCCCTTAACAATTGACACTAAACACAACTGTCAAGGGTGTTTCCAGTTAGGGATGAAGACCCGGAGAATGGAAACAATCTGCATGAACAGGAGGAGAATGGAAAGAAGGAATCACTAATAATGTAAAATTTTCTTCCTAGTTTTGAGGCTGATCTATCAGCTTTTCTTCTATGAACACGTGACTTGTTTATTGCAACTGTGTTTCAGCTAACCTTTAACTGTATGGGCTATCCTAAGCCTACCTCGGTCGCATTCTTTGCTTTCATGTGAGGATCAAAAGTTAAGGTCTAATACCAAGGGATGACATCTGAGCAAGATATCCAAGCATCCAACCAAACTAAGAAGTGAAAAAAAAAAAAAATCATTTTGCCTCAGTGGAAACACACAGGTCTACATGAATGTACTTCCAATAAAACATTTACGCATTGAATGTAGCCGACTCCTTTAATGATCTTATGTTGATTTCTTTACTTGCCAACAACAAGAAGACAACACATTGTTTTCAACTGAATGAAATCTGACAACCAACTCAACCATAGTGCTAATTCCCGTATGAGCATTTTCACATTGTCTTTCCGCTGATACTAAAATTTTCCCAACAAGTGGTAATGGCTTCATTTCAATTTAGCCCCACAACCTACGATCAATATCCAGAATTACGCTTCTTAAAATTATCTCCTACACTCAGCTTCAATATGAGATAGGACTTAATTGAAACCACGAGGTGACATAACCACACTTTGTGCAGCTACGTACCTTTTACCTTTGCTTTAGTGATCAATGAAAGTTCCAGTCCCTATCGACTCACAGCAGTCTTAACAACATAAAATTAAACATATCAGGTTCTCATGTGTTCTATATCTTATAGTGTACCTTCTCCACTGGCGTCGTTTTCTACAGATATCTAACAAAAAAGCTAATTAAAAGCAACTTTCTAGTCGGGAAGTGTTGTAAACCCCGTGCTTTGATTGCAACAGTTCAATGAATGTCAGTAGGAAAAGAGCACCTAAAATCAGCTGATGCTTGCATTTATTTTATGGGGGCTTCCAGGCTCAGGACAAATGGTACCATTGACCCAACGGAAAAAATTCATTTTATTTAGTAGGCTTTGGAATTAAACTTCATAAGATACTTTTTGTTAATATAGATCCCACCACCACTATTTCCCTAGGTAATTCTGGCCACAAACCAATACCCATATATTTATGATGAAGTATCTGCCATTTTCACTTTATACTATATCAAATAATATTTCAAGGTCAATGCCGTCTTCTTGAGATCTCTAATCAGTATTTTACTTATAGCAGGTTTAGTGCAATTATGTAATTGATTATTTTTCTTTCCTTTTATATAGATTTCAATTTAATAAATATTCCTCCGAAAAATAAATTTCCATGTGGCAAAGTTAGTTTAATTGGATCATGAGATTTTAACGCCTTCTTTAATGAGCTTGACATGCCTTTTATAACCCCTTCGTGTAACCATTCCTTCAAACCATGAAAATCCCATAGTATAAATTCATTCCTCCTAAGAGTTTCTGTCTTCTAAAGCATTGCATGCAAATTACCATGTCCCTCAATTTAGTGCGAACATACTTCAGGAGCTTCTTCAATAACGTTCTCCGAGTAGAAAACGATGATTACACTTTCAATGGTTATCTTCTTCCATCACTTGGAGCAACTATAAACCAATCTGTCAAGCTTAAAAAACATACCATTTCTCCATATGATCCCCGTTACAGGTCTGTACAAAACTTGATGCTTTCTATATAACCACAAGCTTCAATTCTCTAATCTTTCCTTTGTTTTTATTTCAGGGCTTGGGAGATATTTCTCATCTTGTTGGTTGTCTACTCTGCTTGGGTCTGCCCATTTGAATTTGCTTTCCTCAGATATCTACCGGGAATTTTTTTCCTTGTGGATAACATTGTCAATATATTCTTTGCTATTGATATTATTATGACTTTCTTTGTTGCTTATATTGATGGAAAGTCTAATCTTTTGGTGGATGATCATAAGGGGATTGCTGTCAGGTAACAAACTGTATTTGTTCAGTTTGATCCTAAGTTACAGCATTCTAAGCTTTCAGTAACGTTAGTTTTGCAGGTATCTATGTTCTTGGTTCATCCTTGATGTTTGTTCAACAATCCCGTTCCAATTACTTAGCCAACTTTTTACGGGAAAGGGTCATGTTCTTATTTTCAAAGTGCTTAGCATGCTCAGGCTATGGCGCCTTCATCGTGTCAGCTCCCTCTTTGAAAGGTTTGAACCTTCATCTTTTCCGTGATACTCGAACGCTTAATTTATTTATTTCAAACAGTAACTATAAACTATGTGTTATCTTGGGTAAATTTCATAAATATGGCATGAATTCGACATTGAGAGTTTTGAACAAAACTCCGTAACTTTGTATAACATAGCTAGAAAACTTTCTTGAACAATTTTATCCCTATGTACCAAATATAATTTCTATACTGTGTACCCTTTTTGGAGAAGGATAGTTTAAAGAAGAAAAAAAGTATTTTAGACTATTTAATTAACTGTTAATGGTGTTCATGTTTTTAGAATTTGGAGAGGTTATTTCAAGACCCTCCAAAGCTGAGGGCCATTTTGAATGAAATTTACCTTTCCCCCTATATAGGATTGAGAAGGATATCAGGTTCAACTATATTTCGACACGTTGCACAAAAGTTATTGCAGTAAGCTTTCGACGATTCAACCTTTCATTTGATATTTTGAAAATGCTTATTAGTGCTAAAATAATTAACCTACATATTCCTTGTAGGTAACTCTATTTGCAATCCATTGTGCTGGATGCTTTAACTATTTGATTGCCGATAAATACCCTGATTCAAAAAGTACATGGATAGGTGCAGTGATACCTAATTTCAAAGAAAAAAGTGTATGGACCAGATATGTGGCCGCAATATACTGGTCCATAACAACGCTCACAACAACAGGATATGGAGATCTGCATGCTGAAAATACAGAAGAAATGTTGTTTACTACTTTTTACATGCTGTTCAATTTGGGATTAACGTCTTATCTTATCGGCAACATAACAAATCTTGTTGTGCATGGCACTAGACGCACCTGTAAATTTGTGAGTTCTCTTTCTAGTGTACTTTGTTACATCTCTCAAAATGCTATTAATAAGTTAAAAGTTCAAAAGAAATAAACTATAGCTGGATCTAATGCAAAGTCATTGTTTATGATCAACTATATGAATATCTTTTCTCCATTCATCTTTATTTCGGACAATTTGCATTAATGTCAAGATCTAATGCTGTCATTACCTAGCAAGCCTTTAGAATTTAGATTAATTTTGTACACAACATTTTGGATCTTTCAAATAGAATATTCCCTGCACGTGATAGGAATGTTAGTCTTTTTTGTTTTAGTGATTATGAAATAACCAGGTATGGGATCCTAAGGCTTTACAAATATATGATTGCTTCAGGCACTTGTCACAAAGCTGTTGTCAATAAAAATAACTTAATAGATTTTTGGAGGACAAATTTATGATAGAAGCAGTAATTTTCTTTTACAAGATGAGCTTGTTTTTTTTTCTGAATTAAGTTAATAGATTTTGGAGGATATATTTGCCATAGAATCTGTAATTTTCTTTAACAAGTTGAACTTACGATTTTTTTTCTTATCCAAATTACTCATTGCAGAGGGATACTGTTCAAGCCGTATCAGTATTTTCGGCAAGAAATCAATTGCCAAAGTACATAGAAGATCAAATTCTATCTCATGTTTGCCTAAGATTCAGGACTGAGGAGCTGAAACAACAGGAGACCATCGACAATTTGCCAAAAGGCATCCTTTTAAGCATAAAAAACTACCTCTTCTCTCCATTACTTGAAAGAGTTTATCTTTTTCATGGAGTCTCGTCTAACCTTATTTTTCAACTGGTTAGTGATATAAACATTTAGTGCTTATGTGCAAATTCTTATATGTATTGACCAACATGCACAAAATAGGTTGCAGAGATAGAAAGCGAGTATTTTCCACCAAGAGAGGATGTGATGTTGCAGAATGAAGCTCCAACTGATCTATATATATTGGTATCAGGAGCGGTGGTCAGTTGAAACTTCTGACTCTAATTAACATCAAAATTTAATGTAGAAACGAGTTATATTTGAGCCATATCACAATTCAATTGTCTTGCAGGACATTACAGAAACTGTGTGCTATGTTGAACACGTAAGTTCTCTTTTCTTTGGAAAAATGTATACTAAACGCATATAAGAAATAAGTGCATAAAGCAGTTTTTGGTAATAATTTTCAGGTTCGTGGACGGGCAGTGGCTGGGGAAATGTTCGGGGAGATAGGTGTTTTGCTAAGCACTCCTCAACCATTCAACGTGCGAACTGTTGAGCTCTCACAAATACTGAGGCTCAACAGAAATAAACTTATGACAATACTTGAAGAAAATAGAGAAGACGAGACTGTAGTCATGAACAATCTTTTCGAGGTATGATCAAACTAGGCTTCACTAAAGCAATATGAAATGTCTGAATAGTAATCAATCTGCAATAAATTCTACAGAAGCTGAGGCTTCAGACAAGCTTAGTCCTAGAAGATGGCAGCAGTCACAGAGAGATCCCGACAACAGATTCACTAACGAAGGCCGGGGAGAGAAATGAGAACAAAATGGCTTCAAAAGGGAAACAACAAAAGGAAATGTCTGAAACGGGTAGGGTGGACAAGGTTACAATAAGAACTCCTCGCCCAAAGGTAGTTGGCCACGCGATTGACAATGAAGTTGATAGATCGACGGCTAAGAGAGTAACGATTCATTTTCTAGGCACAGGCATAGTAGGAGAAGAAAAAGGGAAGCTCATTAATCTACCCAGTTCTCTGGAGGAGCTCCTCAAGATTGGTGGTAAGTCTTATCTGATAAAACAACTTGATTTGAAGCTAAAAAAAAAAAAAAAGTATAGTGCACATTAGATAAGAAGAATGAACTGATATATAGTCTACCGAAACTCTACAATGTAATCTGTAAAAATAATTTCCCTCTGTTATATATCTTAGTAGTTATAGTGCCCTATATTGCAAAAATATTGCAGGTGAGAAATTCCCCGGTCGTCATCCTGCAAAAGTGGTCACCAAAAAGAATGCTGAGATAGATGACATTAATGTAGTTCGAGATGGAGACCAGTTATTTCTCCTCGAGAGGATGGATGATGTCAACTCACAGCCGTTCAATATCTAAGGCATAACCGAATGCAAAATTATGTTACTTATAGCTATGTGCGAGGAGCATAGATAAATATAGAGTCATACTAATGTTAAATTTGTAGCCAACAACTTATTTGAATATAAAGAAAAAAAAAAGGAAAATTAAGATAAATAAACAAACGTCATATGTTCTGAAATCCAATCTCGCTTGGCTCAAAAACAGAAGTTGCACGATACTAAACTACATCCAGTACAAAGAGAGCTACAAACTAAGGCCTAAAGTACCGAACAATATTTCTATGTTTCAAAGAGAACCATGCAATATATAGCACAGAGAACGTATACCAAATATGCGCATTGAATGAGTACTAAAGCAAATTCATATTTTCAGGGGGTGCCTCCTATGCATGAGTTAGATTAATAGATTCTCTATGTGTTAGATTAATAGATTCTCTATGTATTAGAGCTTGTGCGCACATTTAATCCATACTCATAGCACATAAGCATATTCACGTGATTGCTTCTTCGTTATTTAATTTGGTGGAAGCCTTTGTTCTCTCTTTTCCCCCCTCTTTCTTTCTTTCTTTTGAAAATCACTAATTTAGAGCGTTGATTGTAGGTTGACGGTCCATCCTAAAATTTGAGTAATATCTTCATATAGTTTCATCATCTACAGCTAACCTATTTTTGTTACATCAATATATTCCTTGTTTTGAATGATCAATACAACATTCTTTGCTATATTAAATATAGAGTTTTTACCTTTACTTTATATTTTATTTTATGGCGATAATGTCCTCTAAGATATGAGTCATTCAATTCTTGGAGTTCAGATAGTCTACTCATTTTACTTGGATTTTTAGTTTTTCTTGATCTAAGAGTTTATTATCTTTTTTTTTTGTCGTTCTTAAAGGATTTTACTTTTATCTTTGCACCTTATAGAGTTATAGTCCAGAATTCACTAAAAATTTATGCGCAAAGAAAGCCACTTGTATGAAGCGTGATAGAGTTTCGCAAAGCGGAGTCGGGTTACTTACTTTAGCTATATGGCATACTTTTCTTGGCTCACATGTTTGACGACAATTAAACAGTCAATACTTGTTGGGAAAAACGGGATTGGTTGATTGATTTTTTGCCATTTCTCTGTAGATAAAATAGATTAATAAGATAAATAATAATAAAATTACTAAAAGAAATATTCACCCGGACACTAGTATTTTTAACGTGGGAAACCCTTCAGCTAAAGATAAAAATCATGGGACCTAGTCCAGAAAAATCTTTCACTATAAAAATAATGGGTACACACGTTTTCTCTCTAAACATTTGACTAGGGGTACACCAACAACAAACATGATAGAAAAGATGACTTTTTTTACACTGGAAAAAGACCACAAAAGACTAACTCTATACTTCAGTTTGAAGACCCACTTATTCTGCATACCTCTTTTACCCTTAATTAGGAAGTCTTACCAACTCATAGGGATCATTTTTATGCAAGGAATTCATCTCTTCTTGTATTGCCTGGGTCTCCATGAGATTGGGCTCCTGGAAACACTCAGCTCCCCCTCATTAGTAAGTAAAATATATTTAGTAGAGGGATACCTTGTAGATGGTTGATGGACTTTTTTGAACCTTCTGAGCTAAGGTTATTTGCTTTCTTGAGAAGTTGGTTCTTTATCTACATTAGCCTCTCCATCACCACCATCATCAGTAATATCCTCTAGTAGGAAAGGAACTGTAATGGGGTTGTAATCTTCATCAACCTTACTATCTGACTTCTCCTTGATTGTTTGGCTTCACGAAAGACTACACCTCTTCTTCTAATAACTCTTTTTTTTATAGGATCCCATAACTTATACACAAATTCTTCATCTCCATAGCCAATAAAGATGCATGGAATCACATTGTCATCAAGCTTCAATCTCTGCTCTTTTAAAACATTTGCAAAAGCTTTACACCCAAACACCTGAAAGTATCTTAGAGGGGGTGAATAGGGTAATTGCTAATCTAATTCGATTTCAATGCCAAATTAAAACATAAAAATACAATATCCTAGCAAAATGATATACAATAAGATATGCAAGGATAAGCAAGAGATAATAGGCGATATAAACAACAAGCACAAGATATAAAGAGAAATATTACGCCAAAGAAACAATCGTAAACACACGATATGATCACGGAGTTCGGTCAACACTTGACCTATGTCTCCGCTCCTCACCTCGAGGAGATCTCCACTATCGCTCAAAAATTCTACACGCAAACAATTTTCAAAGATCATCGATAACTTTTACAATACACGATGTTAATCCCACAAGCCACACTTCTCTAAATGTTGGACTGTCCGTGTCACCTTCCTCAAGTGTTTAGAATTATAACATCTCCCTAGGATTTACAACCAACCCACTCCTCTTGGAATTGACCCCGGTCTCTCTCAACCACTCCTCTAAGTTTTCTTGTGTATTACAACGTGTTTAACAAATAAGTACGAATGAAGATTTTGTTCTCTAAACAAGTGAGAATAAATTGTAAAGCTCTCTCAATGAAAACACTCTTACAACCCAAATATACTAAATGTGAAATACTAAAGCTCAAGTGGGTGTGTGTAATCAATGAGTAAAATAAAATCAAACTCAAATCAATCTAGCATAAATATATGAGAATCAAAATATTAATTAGCTAGAGAAAGAGTTTAGAAAACTTCTCCAAAATAAAGAGAGTAAGAGATATGAGGATGAACGCCTCAAGAATGAAATTGAGATCCTTCTCTTTATGAAACCCTTATCACATAAACAAACACACTTAAGCTTCAGAAACATGCAGCAAAACTGCCAAAAACTTCTTGTGAAAAACATGTGAAAAACTAAGTCTTGAGAGCTATTTATAACCTCTTAAACACAAGAAGACAGGAACTAGTTGTTACTGTAAAATAGCCATTGATCAGTCGATTGAAAAACATGGTCGGTCGACTGATCAACTGAAAAACAAAATATTGTAAAAACTGCTTCTGACAAGTCGACTGGTTTAACCAATCAGTCGACTGATCCACTGTTCGATTGACTGGTTAAAGCAACCGGTCGACTGAAAAACTAATACACAGATACTTGAATGCTGAAAAACTGATTTTCCCAATTCGTTTTAAAATAGTAAAACAACTTTAAAAATTGTAAAACTTGGGAAGATGTTTATACATGTGAAGATAAACATGTTAGAAAATAAATTTCTAAAATAGCACTTCCCTTTTGTGAAAACTTATTATTTTGTAAAATCATCAACAATATGAAATCGTTAATTACGTGATTCTCATGAAATCATTCCAAACATGTTTTGAAGTGCTTTTAGATAGATTTATAGACTTTTGAAAAGATACAAAATAGTATCATTAAGTCTACAATCCGAAACACGTTATTTTCCCAAAAGATGATAAATAAGATACTAGTGTGTATGTATATAAATATATCTATTAATTTTATATTTATATGGCTAAACTTGAAAGCGATAAAACAAAATGTGTATATGTATGGTTTGAGCTTTAAGTATAAACACATAAAGTAAACACCTAAACAACAAACAATATACCCAAGCAAATGATTTTCATTAAGCTTGATCTTGGTAGCGGAGATGAAGCGATAGCGTGTCTTTGACTTGAATGGTATTGCGCTTCATTCCGATTTCCTCCAACCTCCATGAATATCATCGTTAACACTCAAGGCTATCCAACCTCTAACCTGGATGCATGTTGGAGGAAAATACAAATACAAGAAAATAAGATTAGGAATTATTTATTAATCATCAAAACCAGATTAGACAATAGGCTCATAAACATGAGACCTAACAATCTCTCACTTTTTGATGATTACAAACAATCTACACAACAAATTTAGGAAATGTGCATGATACCAAATGAATACACAATTTTTAATCCTCATGCATGATACCAATAGTAAACAATAAGAAAACGAGATACTCACAATACACTTGTTTCTCCCCCTTTGTCAATATCAAAATAGGGAAAACAATAAGAAGAAATAGAATGAAAACCCCCCTACATATAAGCACGATGAGTATAAATAGATAGGGAAAATCTCCCCCTATCAAAAATCCACAAAGCATATATCAATGATAATAAGGCAGCTATATGTGAGCACATATATAAGAAACAACTCACACATATCACATATACATATATCACATAGTTCTTTTCTCCCTTTCAAATTCGCAAAAAAAGAAAGAAAGAAAAGAGAGATAGAACAATATGAAATACGAATATGAGATAAAAAAAAAATCTTATTACAACTCATATTCAAACAGACCTAAGAAAAACACATATATATGTCATCATGAAAGGTGTTATGAAGGTCTCAACATATAAAAACATTCTAAGTAAAAAAAAATGAAAATCCATAAAAGAAAATAACTTTTTTATAAATCATGAAGGTCCATGGAAGAGAATCATGAAAAAAATTTATGAAAGCATTTATGAAAATTCATGAAGGAAAATCATAAAAATTCATGAATCCATGAAAGCCAAATGAAAATAAAAAATCAAATGAAAGTCAAAAACTCATACATTGGTCGAGTGATGAAGGCATCGTATGACTGAACATGTCATAAATCAGTCGACTTAAAGTATCAGATAGCAGTTGACTGAACAGGAAAATTAGTCGACTGATATACAAACCGGTCAACTGTCCAGAAAGTTTTGTGAAACTGTCTGGCCTTGATCAGTATTATCGGTCGACTGGTTTAGGATTCAGTCGACTTATGACATCAAAAATCTATAAACCTACAAACATAAATTATGATTGATTAAGAACAATAACATCAAAACATGCTTGATCCATAAAACATTATTTTTGAAGAATATAAGTAAGTGATCAAGCAAACATGAATCAATGGATGCACAATCCAAATTCACCTCTTATAATAAAATAAATTTCTACGCAAAGAGGTTTGGTGAAGATGTCTACTAATAGAGATTTTATATCAATATAAACAGGGGACACATCTTTTCAATTTACATGATCACGTAAAAAGTAAAAATTTCCGCAATTTATTTATCAGTATATAAAATCTAAATGAATATCACCTTTCAAAACATTATCACATAGAATATGATGTCTAAAAACAAAATCAATCAAGGTCACAAAATGTACTGAAAAACAAAAATAACAATTTTATTTTGGTAAGTTTTAATCAATATATATATGTTTCCAAAAACAAGTTTTCCAAACATGTTTTAAAAAAAATAAAAACAAAAATGCTAAAAGCTTGCTTTGAAATTAAACGGTTTTTAACACTCAAACACTCTTGGTGCCGGAGAGTTTAGGGATATGACCCCTAT